AGTAAATAATCTCTAATTGAAGAAACGATATTTTTATAAAATATGTATTTTATATAGAATATTCATTCTGTTTCTTTCATTTCCAATAATAACATAATATCGCTCATTCTCATTTCAATATATTGATATATATTACATGCTGATATAAAACAATTATCTAGAAGCTATTATTTATAATTTTAATATTATCAGGATTAAATACATAAGCATTAACTTTTTTTAGCGTAGGTTTAATTAAAGAAGAAAATTGAAGCTGACTGAGACAATTGAATTTTCGCTTACGAGATTGAAAGGAGCTTAAATCGAAAATTGAATCGACGAATAATCCCATCATTACTGGAGATTAGAAATTATATACGTGTCATCCAAAATATCAAGTCGTTAACGAATTATTAATCACGGTAATCACGTTCCTCGAAACATCGATTATCACTGACCTACCTTAGCCTCTGCACTTCGTTTATATCACGAAATGTTGCCTATGGTCTGTCATAACCTTCGAACCCTTCAATCCTCTTTGTACTCCCGCCCCTGCTCAAATCGTTATCCTCATGCCATTTCGCTTCAGTCAATCTGGAGGTACTCACTATCTATAACGATCTATGACGGGAGCATAAGGGTCAAAACGTAACAAGAATGATGGGACAGATTAATCAAAGATTGATGTCATGGAACAAATATAAAGTTAAATCTTTCTTAACAAAAAAAAAATGAAGTTGGTTTTTCATTTATAAATTTAAATAAAAAATAATCGTTTTTTAAATGAAAATCAAAGACTTGAATAAATAATAAAATATTATAAAACACAGTCGTAAAATAAAAATGGCCATATAATCAATTTTAATATTTATCGAATTGTGTGTAAGAATCGTAATTAATATACGAATTACCAATTCAAGTGCATACAAAGTTTAATCTTCGACCGAGTGCATATTATTTTATATATAACTGTCTGTCTATATGGCATTTTGTTTTTCACCAATTGAAAACGTCAATCAAATTTTCGATTAATCGATTATCTCTCAAAATTCACAGTGAATTACATTTATGCTTACACAATATTATGCTTCAAATCAAATTTTAATTTCATAACTAAAATATATATAATATTTTTATATATCAAATATTAATTAAATTACATTATTCTTAGAGAATTTAATGAAAAATACGCGAAAGAACGGCGTTTATTTCTTTCATGTTATCACTTTTCAACAACAAGACACATATTCTCAATATTGAATATATTATTCCTTTTTTATATAAAAAGCCTCAACGTACTATAGGCACATTTAATAATAAATAAACAAAAAAAAATACAGACCGATAGACCATAAGCAATCCGGATAACACACAAGTATAAATAAAACAGATGAGTAAAATTGTACACAAAAGCGAAACAATAAATAGGATATCGTTACTATTTTGTTACAAAATAACGCGATGTCGTTTTTGGTTTCTTAATTTTTTCCGTCCCCTCTCCGTTCTATTTCAACTATTGATTCCACGTCTACCGCAGAATATGCAAAATATACCGACGACATTGCGAATGACTAAAAATAAAATACAAGAAGCGCAAGGAGGGAATGTTCCTAATATTCGCAATATGCAACAATATATCGTTTATCGTGAAAATTTATATGCATTTCTTGTTCTAATACTTCAATAACCCTTAACGTAAATCGCTCAGAATATAAGTACATACACAAGAAATTCAAACGACCACCTTCACTAATCGCGAAACTGTGATGGCTTCCAACAGCAGAAATAATTTTCGTAAATAAATATATAATGCAAGAAATCTGAGATACAGATATTAAACCTAGCAGATTTCATATCTTGGATTTTCAATAATTTCAATATATTACAAAGTGTTTGAGTGTGACACTTTCTTGCAAATTCTTATGTGTGATTTACTTATGTATATGTATGCGTATATATATGTAACTTACTGATCTTTTTTTCAATTATCGAGAATTTTAATATACGAAAGTTTAAAATCGGATATGAAAGATCGGATAGAAAATCGAAGATATAACGTTTACCTTGAAACCTGAAGAACGACAAGATCCGTTTTCGACATATCCCGTAAAACTACAGGTGAAACGGTTCATTTTTGCCGTTTGCTCCAAAATGACAAAGAAAGGCGATTCGATCGCTCCGGCGCTTTCAAACACTCGATGCCCTCGCTCGCTCTCGTCGTCGATAAAACGGTGGCCGTTTAAATAAATAATTATCACGTCGCGTTCTCACAGAAAGCAGCACACACAATATTGCGCTCGCGAAATCTTACTCTCGTAATGACGACGAGAGTATCGATCACGACGAACGGCGTGCAAACCGCGCGAGAGGCGAGAAGTTAGCGCGAACGTAATTCGTGGCGCGAAACGCGAGCGAGATACTCACCAGATACGTAGGCAGTGACGTGAAAACAGCTGGGCTCCTACGGCCATACTGGTTCCTGGCGACGTTTCTCGCGGCAGCGAGCGCGTCGTGCACGACGAGCGTCGCGACGCCACACGGTGGACCGACTTTCCCCGGTTGTAGCGAGCGATCGATTATCACATACACAGCCGCACCACTTAGAACGCTGCCCTTTTTCCTCCGCGTCTACTGTTCTACTCTGGTCTACTCTTCGCGTTGTAAACGGCGTCGCGACGCTGTCGCCCCGTTCCTTTTCAATTTGCCACAACCTCGCGCGGTTCTCGGACTTGCGCTCTCCTCGTCGAGTCCGTTGTCTAACGAGAGGATAAAGATCACGCGCGCACACGCAGATCTTGAGTGATACTTGGATGATTCATATGAGTTTACCACTGATTCCCGAACATAACCTCATTTTTTCTGTTGAGACAGTCGGAAATTTTAGTTATTACACGATATCCTGTAATCCATGCTCTATATCTGCGAGTATCTTTAAAATGTCAAAAATTAAAATTTTTTTATTTCTCTCTAAATTTGTATTATATTTTTAACACGAATATCATAAGAAATTTGGGAGTGTCTGCACAAATTAAATTAATTTAATTATAAAATTGGATATTCTACTTAATTGAAGAAATTTTTAATTTATATATATATTAAATTAATATAAATTTGTACTGATAAATTGTAGGAAAGTATTTTTGCATAAAAACTTGTTCTTTTACATTCAATTAATGAAAAATAAAAATTCTTATGGAAAGATACTCTGTAATTTAATAAATAAAAAAAATACTCCACAATTAACTGATGAACAAACGGCAAAAAAAATTCAATTCGAGAGAAATATATCTGTGAACATCTTTCATGTATGCTTTTCAAGTATTTTGCTAATTAAAAACAAGATATAATTCTTGAATGTCATATTTTTTTCATAATCAGCTATATTCAATATATTGAGTATATCTTTATGACTAAAAAAAAAACAGATTGTTTTATTTTACAAAAACGCATTTTACATGGAACAAATTGTACAAACGGAAAAAAAACAAACGATTATGCATTTATGAGAGATATCATTCCCAAAATAAAAGCTGGCTACGTTTAGTCTCATTCTAAGGATAAAATATGAAGTAAATGTTACTCGTTCTTTTTACATTTGTTTTACTTATCATTTGTTTATAGTTACACAATCTTAGATATAGTCTAGATAAAAAGAAAAGCATACAGAAAATCACAGGCGTGTGACGAAAATTCGTAACGATATACCAACCCTAAACAAAGCGTCATTCTAAACAACACCATATTTATAACAGACTCAAGTGAGCTGAACATCTCTATTGACTCTTAGCAACCGGCAGCGGTTTTGAAGCGCGCATTCACGTCCTTCCAGTTGACAATATCAAAGATTGCTTTCACGTAGTCGGGACGTACATTCTTATACTGCAAATAATAGGCGTGTTCCCACACATCGATGCCGAAGAGAGGAATAAGGCCAGTTGTGGCCTGCAGTGGATCTTGATTCGCGCAGGTCGTTATTCTGAGCGATTTCGCTTTTTGATCATACCCAAGCCAACCCCAGCCAGAACCCTGAATTGCCACAGTTGTTTCGGACAAGCGTTTTTTCATTTCCTCCAAACTGCCAAAGTCTTTCTCGATCTGTTTCACCAAAGTGGCTAGAGGACAATAGATATATAATATTATCCCTGCAAGTTGATTACACTTTCCGACATACTAATATATTATACAATTTTAAAAAGTCAATTTTAAACTTAATTCTCTCATATATATACACAGATTATTTTTTTTAATCTGTAATTTTTAATGTTTAAATTTATGATACATTATTCCTCTTTCTTTCTTACATTTAAGAGAAATAAAATTTTGAAATTTTTAGGTGTCTTAATATTTGTTTGGATTTCTTGGAATCTTTTACAGAGCTATCTCTCATTTAATTTCATATATCATATGAAAAAATTTTAAAATTTGTAAAATCTTAAAATCTCGAAATTAACTGTGTGTTAGAAACTGATTATGATTATACAAAGTACATTATAAAATTTAATTAATTGAGAATAACAAATATCATCATTTAAATAATGCTATCATTAGAAGATAAAGTGTAATTTGCTGAATCCTACTATAATCTCAATGTGATGCAAACATTAACAATTAATGAAAAATAAAAATTCTTATGGAAAGATACTCCGTAATTTAATAAATAAAAAAAATACCCCACAATTAACTGATGAACAAACGACAAAAAAGATTCAATTCGAGAGAAATATATCTGTGAACATCTTTCATGTATGCTTTTCAAGTATTTTGCTAATTAAAAACAAGATATAATTCTTGAATGTCATATTTTTTTCATAATCAGCTATATTCAATATATTGAGTATATCTTTATGACTAAAAAAAAAACAGATTGTTTTATTTTACAAAAACGCATTTTACATGGAACAAATTGTACAAACGGAAAAAAAACAAACGATTATGCATTTATGAGAGATATCATTCCCAAAATAAAAGCTGGCTACGTTTAGTCTCATTCTAAGGATAAAATATGAAGTAAATGTTACTCGTTCTTTTTACATTTGGTTTACTTATCATTTGTTTATAGTTACACAATCTTAGATATAGTCTAGATAAAAAGAAAAGCATACAGAAAATCACAGGCGTGTGACGAAAATTCGTAACGATATACCAACCCTAAACAAAGCGTCATTCTAAACAACACCATATTTATAACAGACTCAAGTGAGCTGAACATCTCTATTGACTCTTAGCAACCGGCAGCGGTTTTGAAGCGCGCATTTACGTCCTTCCAGTTGACAATATCAAAGATCGCTTTCACGTAGTCGGGACGTACATTCTTATACTGCAAATAATAGGCGTGTTCCCACACATCGATGCCGAAGAGAGGAATAAGGCCAGTTGTGGCCTGCAGTGGATCTTGATTCGCGCAGGTCGTTATTCTGAGCGATTTCGCTTTTTGATCATACCCAAGCCAACCCCAGCCAGAACCCTGAATTGCCACAGTTGTTTCGGACAAGCGTTTTTTCATTTCCTCCAAACTGCCAAAGTCTTTCTCGATCTGTTTCACCAAAGTGGCTAGAGGACAATAGATATATAATATTATCCCTGCAAGTTGATTACACTTTCCGACATACTAATATATTATACAATTTTAAAAAGTCAATTTTAAACTTAATTCTCTCATATATATACACAGATTATTTTTTTTAATCTGTAATTTTTAATGTTTAAATTTATGATACATTATTCCTCTTTCTTTCTTACATTTAAGAGAAATAAAATTTTGAAATTTTTAGGTGTCTTAATATTTGTTTGGATTTCTTGGAATCTTTTACAGAGCTATCTCTCATTTAATTTCATATATCATATGAAAAAATTTTAAAATTTGTAAAATCTTAAAATCTCGAAATTAACTGTGTGTTAGAAACTGATTATGATTATACAAAGTACATTATAAAATTTAATTAATTGAGAATAACAAATATCATCATTTAAATAATGCTATCATTAGAAGATAAAGTGTAATTTGCTGAATCCTACTATAATCTCAATGTGATGCAAACATTAAAAAAACAGAAAGAACTCGGTAAACATAAACATTTTTTAAAAAATTACTTTTAATTTTCATATGAAATGAATCTAATTCATTCAGATATTTCTTTTCTGTACGTATATGTATGAAGATTAATTGTGTAACTAATTGTTTATTCTGCTCATTTTTTTCAACATTACCATCTGGATCGCTACTACAGGGCGAAAGATTGCACCAGAAAATCGAGTGATTGATGTGACCCCCACCATTGAACTTGATGGCTGGGGCCAGAGCAATTTGTGTATTGACGTCATTTTTTGCAACTGCCTCCTTCAGTTTCTCCTCAGCAACATTCAAATTATTGACATATGTTGCGTGATGTTTAGAATGATGAAGCTGCATGATTTCTGCACATATGATAGGCTCTAGAGCCTTATAATCATATGGCAGATCTGGAAGCGAGTGCTTTGATCTTGCAAATACGTCCTTGCTGTAAATTGTATCAACAACTAATAATAATAATGTAATATATTGGATTATATTATTTATAAGATGTATAGAAAGCATATAGTATATAAAAAATAGACGTAAATAGATATAATAAACAATAAATAGAATAAACTTGTGTTTTATCTAATTTCCAAATTTTTACTATATCTCGTAAATATAAGTATAATATAATTTGCGATTTATTAAAGAAATAATTATCAAGAAAACTAAACTTAAGATTGCAGATCAAACAAAAAATCTATTACAAACTCTAGATAAACATTTTAATTATATATCGATAAGCGAATATAAAATTTATTTTTTGAAGCACATTGTAATATTGTTTGTTTATTAAAAATTCTTTAGACAAATCGTACAAAAATTTTCGCCGGTCGTAAATAAATGCACAAGGAAAAAGAATTTAAAATCTAAAATAAAGTAGTTCATCTTTTATTTAACAATTATGTTCGCAAGGGTCATATATGCGCATTTTTTTTTGCCAATCCTATTTCACATAAATTGTTGACATAATAATATCGTCTTACATAAATTATTAACATCGATTGAAAATTTGCTACAGTCAAGAAACATATCGTTACAAAAAAATCGATGTTATGTGTTAGGTTAAAAATTATATAATACAGAAACAATAGCGAATATAAAAGCGATATATATTGACATATTTACATCGTATTGGAGACGAGAATACGTCTTGCTGCAAACATGATGGAAAAAGTAGAAAAATGGACTTTATTTTTGAAAATAATCCACTAACTCCTCTTTATGGATTTATTTGGTAATAATTTCGGTAGTTGCTTCTGCTTGGTTCTATTGCAAACTATCAACAGTCAGCACACGTCAAGTATATCATGCTAGTAGCGCGAACTACTGGCAAAATACTTGCAATATTGACTTTTGCAATATTGCGTTACCCATAACTAGAAAGATTGTAGAAAGATTGTAGAACAAATTCCACCGGGCGGAACTAGTACGCATGCGTTACGTTATTGCCCACGTGACCGATATAGGTAGACTCGTATTTAATGCAATATATACATTTCCAAAAAATCATACAAATTCTTTATTGTTTTTATGTTTGTTTGTCGTTTACTATTAATGCTAATAATATATAAGATATATATCAAATGGTATATTAAACACTATTATTGTTATAAGATGATTTCAAAATAAAGCATTATATTCTAAAAGCTTAAAATCTACTCTTATTGTATTCATTACAAATATTTTATATATATAAACATAAATTCATGTAGAGAAAATACTAATTTAAAGAAAAAAGGCATCATAATTTAATTACAAAATATGCATATAAAAAAACTTTATTTTCAACTTATAACTTGGAAGTTATTGTTGTCTTCCGTAATATTCCTAAAAAAAGAATAATAATAATAATGGCACTACATAGTAATTTGGGATGGAATATATAATATACATATTTTACAATACTTTTTAATGAAAATTTATATAAATTTAATATCTTCTATTTCTCTTTATGCGCGTTCTCTCTTTGAAATGAAAGTAAAAGCACAAATTAAAAAAAAGAAATATATAAAACAAATTTTTATATATATATATAATATCTCATACATAATTTCGTATAATTTTTGAAGAAATTAAAATATGAATAT